CTCCAGAGAAACAGCCTCGTTACCTCTAGGAAGCAATAGACACTTTAGGAAGACACAGAAACACACAATAGCAGCAGATGAAAAACGGACAATCACAGGACATAAAAATTAACAGGGGCTTAACAGACCTGATTACTTAATACATTATGGGGACAAATGCAGTAAAAATGATAGGAAAATGTAGTTAAAAATGGCTGTTTAATCAATATGAATAATAATGGCATAAAACTCAGAATATTAACCAATTCAATACCAGGCAATTTTACACCTTCCTGCCCAGGCCAGTTTTCAGGTTTCAGCGCTCACAGTTTGAATGACAATTGCGCGCTCATACAACATTGTACCCAAATTAAAATTTTATCATTTTCTTCACACAACTAGAGCTTTCTTTTGGTGGTATTTAATCACCGCTGGGGTTTTTATTTTTTGGTAAATTAACAAAAAAAGACCCTATTTTTTTATTTTTTTTTACATATTGTCACCAGTGCAGTACAGCATCATCATATAACTGGCATGGCAGTGATCAGGGACACTGACTGGTGACAGTATGAAAAAAAAAAATTATATATATATATTTTTTTTCTTTTTTTTTTTTTCAGATTTTTTTTTTTCAGATTTCACTATGACCAAAGTAGTACAATGTTACCATAGTAACATTGTACTACTTTGCGGAAGTGATCAGTATTTTTTTTTTTTCTTTTTACACAATTTGCTTATAGCAAAGAATTACTTTGCTATAAGCAAGCATTTACCTGAATGACATCGATTCATTCAGGATTTTTTTTTTTTTTTTGTGCTTAGCTGTGATTTGGCCACAGCTAATCACATGACGTGCATGTGATTAGCTGTGACCATTCACAGCTAGGCAGTAGTATACAATGGATGGCATGAATGAAGCCATCCATTGTATACAACTGTCATGTGACCTGCTGTGATTGGTCACAACAGGTCACATGGTACCGGCAACGGGGCCGATACTCAGATCTGTCATCAGCCATGTCCGAGGTACACAGCCGGTGACAGATCGCGCCGCTCTGCAGGAGCGCAATCTGCGCATGTGCAGGAGGACGCAATATGGCGTCCACCCGGAACGCTGATGACATTTGCCGCCCGCCATTCGGCCATAGGGCGGGCGGCAAATGGTTAATATGGGGGTAAACCTGGTAAATCATGGATTAAGAATTCACATAAAGGCCATAAAAGGGGGAAAAAACATATAAAGAATTCCTAAGAACGACCAGAAAAAAATATGCTTGTACTAAAACCTTAAAGAAGCAGGCAATAAAAATAAAAGCCTGAACATACAATAAAATAGAATTAATAAAAAAAAAAGAGGGATATGCCAATGACCTAAAAATCACTAATAAAATAATTTAAGGTCAAACATCAATATTCAGTCCTAAAGGGGTCATAGTATCCCTCGTATAAATCCATCAGGATTCAGCCTGATTCAGAACCTGAATTTTATCATTGCCTCTCCAATGGGGTTGAAATTGCTCAATACCCCAAAACAGTAGGGAAGAGGGATCCTTTATCATGGTGGGTCGCAAAATGTTTGGGGAGACTATGTTTGGGATAACCTTTTTTGCTGTTCTGCACATGCTTCCTCAACCTTTCCCATAGTGGTCTTTAGTTCTTCCTATATATTGTAACCCAGGGCTTAAAATTTTTAAGTCCTGAGCTACTAGCCAGGCCTTAAGAGTTACTCGCCACCAACAAATACACACAAACAGACACCTATACACACACACACACACAGACGTGCACATACAAACACAGAGACATATGTACGCACATACAGACGTGTACACACACAGGCTAGTGCATACACACAGGTACATGTACATACACCGAAATACACACACATGTACATACATACACACACATGTACATCATTGGTGTCAGTGCGGGGGGGGGGGGAAATAGTGCCCCATAATTGGTGTCAGTGGGGGGGGGGGAATAGTGACCCATCATTGGTGTCAGTGGGGGGGGGAATAGTGCCCCATCATTGGTGTCAGTGGGGGGGGGAATAGTGCCCCATCATTGGTGTCAGTGGCGGAGGGGAATAGTGTCCCATCATTGGTGTCAGTGGAGGGAGGAATACTGCCCCATCGTTGATGTCAGTGGGGGGAGGAATAGTGCCCCATTGTTGGTGTCAGTGGAGGGAGGAATAGTGCCCCATCGGTGTCAGTGGGGGGGAAATAGTGCCCCATCATTGGTGTTAGTGGGAGGAATAGTGCCACCAATGATACTTACCTTGCTGACCCCTGCTCCAGCCTGGGCTCGCTCCCTCCCTCTTCCATCCACAGCAGCATACCTGGCTGCAGCAGCAGCACCATCTGCACGGCACATACACTTACCCGTCAGCTGTCTTCCTTCTCCGGCCGCTCCCCTCTTCACTTGCGCTGGCTGCTCCCTCACTTCTTTGATCTTTGTGCTGCTGCTTGGCTCCTCCTCTCCAAGCTCCGCCTCCTCGACAGTGATTGGCCACGTGTGTGCCTTTCCTGAGCTACAGTTCCGGCGGCCAATCATCGGTGAGTAGGCAGAGCTTGCAGAGGGAAGGACAAGATGCCATAGGCTGTTGAGTGATCCCAGGGGTGTGGCAAGATGACAGGGGGCGGCATGTCATCCCGTCCACACATCGTGATCCAGGGAAATGAAGACACCGGACCCGCTGACCACCTCCCTACCCTTCCAGCAGCGCCTAGTGGACCGGATTGACGTGGGACTGGGACACAGAGTTGCGGACCCAGGTAAGACACAGCAGCCCGTCCCTGTACTAAGGGTCCCTTCCGTGGGAAAGAGGTTGGGGCGGCGTTGCCGCTGCGCTGCCCCCCTAAAAAGTGCCACCCTAGGCAAACACCTTGTTTGCCTAGCGGCAAATACGCCCCTGGGGGACACACTCTCCCCCACCATAATTTCCACTCGCCATTGGTGAGCAAGCGAGTGGAAATTTCAAGGCCTGTAAATGTAACCCACAACAGTATTGAAGGGCATAAACCACTCCCACTGTTCTACATGTGATAAAATTCTTAATTTCAAATTCTGATCCATTACTAGAAAATTAAAAATCATTCCTCTTAGTATTCCAACCTTTGGTTGCTAGACAAGCATAGCACCATTTACAGTGCAAAAACCCATTCCTATCCAGAATGGTGGCCTGTCTGTTTCTCTAAGAGGGATCTACCACATTTTTAGCCAGTTTGAGCCTGTACTGAGCATATTCTGACCCCCTATAATTAAGGGGTCTGACGTTCTGGTAAGCCCCTGATTTGATAATTAGGTGGTAGCTATTCACATTGGTGGTTTTTGATGGAATGAAGAATGTTCACCACTGATTGCAAGATCCAGGGGATTGATTTTCACTTATAAGGACTGTCTGTGATTCACTTTACTTATGTGGATTCTGAGCATCTTATGGTCTATTCATGGACTGTCTGATAGATTTCACTTGAGGATTTTGAGCACTTCACATATCAGTTACTATTCTATTTATTTGTATAATACTTTTTGCTCACACGCAACATTTATTTATATGTTGATTGAGAGGGGATATCCTCTGGGTGTGTTTGCAGCTTTGTATAACATGGACGTGGGATATTTTTGCGCAGTTTATTGTGTAAATTTTTTTTTTTTATATGCAGATATCATTCCCTAACCTTTTTCTAATGTGTAAAATGTGGGATGTGACCAAAAAATTGTTAGGGATTTCTTGCTTTACCAAATACACTCCCATTTGGGATGATCCCCTTTTTCCAGAAATCTTTAAACTCCAAGGTTTCCAGAGATGAGAGATGGCGGAAATATGTACTTTGGAACATCTTCATGACAGTGGTATGAAATCCTTTACACAATTAGCAGCAAAAGTGGTTGTATCAGTATCTCCAAATTCGGCATGCTATTATACTCAGCCTAATTTGGCTTTGGTTTCTTTTTCTTCCATGCCCCTTGTCAGCACCTATAGAAAGAGCAATATCAACTAAGGGATTAATTTCAGATACTTACAATGGACTACTAGATAAGTTCCTTTTGAGATTCTTTGCTATGTAAATCTTTGATGGGAGAGAGATATAGGCCCTATTTCTGGCCATATCAGGGAGGATGTCCTACAGTCCCTTGAGAGTGTTTTGCTGTCGTCCTCTCATAGACTTGCACAGATATTTTATTTTACATAGTCTATTTTTTGTTTAAAATTGGTATGAGAAAGGACCCTTGGTGTGCTAGATGTGGGCACTTATCTGAGTCTTATTCTCTCTTCTATGGCGTTGTCCCAAATAGAGAAGGTATTAGGCTGAGGCGATGGGGACTCTTAATGGGCTTTTAGGGGTTAATTTGCTGGCTGACCCTCTTTCCTGTTTTCTTGGGCCTAATGACCCATCCTTAACTGAACAGAATTTGTGGCTCACTGTTTTAAGAACCCTATTTATAGCCCATAGATTAATTGTATTGAGGTAACTTTCCCTCTGCCTTCTCTTTCTGATTGGATAACAGTGCTTAATAAATATTTTATATGAAAACAAACTTATAAAACATACTTATAACTAGAGATGAGCGAATCGAAGTAGGCGAAGTGGAATTCGCTTCGAATATTAGAAAAAATATCGAAATTTTGATATTTTGAATTATCGAATCGAAATTTTTCCTAAAATGGCGGCGACATGTGCGGCGACGGAGCGGGGATGTCTGGGAAGGCGCGCAGACAAGGCGCGCTGACCCATAATGCATTCATTCATGACATGTGATCGCATTAGCCAATCAGCAGCCAGCCAGCCAGCACTGTGTAATGGTCGAGCTATAAATGGCGGCCATTTTAGAATTCTCCATTTGCCTCCAGTCATTCAACAGAGGCAGACCTGGCTGTATTCAGGGAGAGAGTTGGGGACACAGAAAACGTTACTTAGGGCCACAGAAACGTTACTTAGGGCCACAGAAACGTTACTTAGGGACCCAGAAACAGAACGTTACTTAGGGCCACAAAATCGTTACTTAGGGCCACAGAAATCGTTACTTAGGGCCACAGAATCGTTACTTAGGGCCACAGAATCGTTACTTAGGGCCACAGAATCGTTACTTAGGGCCACAGAAACGTTACTTAGGGCCACAGAAACGTTACTTAGGGACACAGAAACGTTACTTAGGGACACAGAAACGTTACTTAGGGACACAGAAACGTTACTTAGGGACACAGAAACGTTACTTAGGGACACAGAACTGTTACTGAGGGCCACAGAACTGTTACTGAGGGCCACAGAACTGTTACTGAGGGCCACAGAACTGTTACTGAGGGCCACAGAACTGTTACTGAGGGCCACAGAACTGTTACTGAGGGCCACAGAACTGTTACTGAGGGCCACAGAACTGTTACTTAGGGCCACAGAACTGTTACTTAGGGCCACAGAACTGTTACTTAGGGACACAGAACTGTTACTTAGGGCCACAGAACTGTTACTTAGGGCCACAGAACTGTTACTCAGGGACAGACACAGAACTGTTACTCAGGGACTGACACAGAATTGTTACTCAGGGACAGACACAGAATTGTTACTCAGGGACAGACACAGAATTGTTACTCAGGGACAGACACAGAATTGTTACTCAGGGACAGACACAGAATTGTTACTCAGGGACAGACACAGAATTGTTACTCAGGGACAGACACAGAATTGTTACTCAGGGACAGACACAGAATTGTTACTCAGGGACAGACACAGAATTGTTACTCAGGGACAGACACAGAATTGTTACTGAGGGGACACAGAATTGTTATTTAGGGCCACAGAAACGTTACTTAGGGACAGACACAGAATTGTTACTGAGGGCCACAGAAACGTTACTTAGGCCACACAGAAACGTTACTTAGGGCCACAGAAAACGTTACTTAGGGCCACAGAAACGTTACTTAGGGCCACACAAAACGTTACTTAGGGCCAGAACAGAAACGTGTTACTTAGGGACAGACACAGAATTGTTACTGAGGGACACAGAATTGTTACTGAGGGACACAGAATTGTTACTGAGGGACACAGAATTGTTACTGAGGGACACAGAATTTGTTACTGAGGGACACAGAATTGTTACTGAGGGACACAGAATTGTTACTGAGGGACACAGAATTGTTACTGAGGGACACAGAAACGTTACTTAGGGCCACAGAGAACGTTACTAGGGACAGACACAGAATTGTTACTGAGGGACACAGATTTGTTACTGAGGGACACAGATTTGTTACTGAGGGACACAGATTTGTTACTGAGGGACAGACACAGAATTGTTACTCGGGGACAGACACAGAATTGTTACTCGGGGACAGACACAGAATTGTTACTCGGGGACAGGACACAGAATTGTTTACTCGGGGACAGACACAGAATTGTTACTCGGGGACAGACACAGAATTGTTACTCGGGGACAGACACAGAATTGTTACTCGGGGACAGACACAGAAATTGTTACTGGGGGACAGACACAGAATTGTTACTGAGGGACAGACAGACACAGAATTGTTACTGAGGGACAGACACAGAATTGTTACTGAGGGACAGACACAGAATTGTTACTGAGGGACAGACACAGAATTGTTACTGAGGGACAGACACAGAATTGTTACTGAGGGACAGACACAGAATTGTTACTCAGGGACAGACACAGAATTGTTACTCAGGGACAGACACAGAATTGTTACTCAGGGACACAGAATCGTTTAATTAAAGAGTATGTCAGACAACATGCATAGGAGTGGCAGAGGAGGCAATGTTTTAGGAGCGAGCAGACGTGGCAGCAGAGGAAGGGGTCGAGGCAGCACTATTCGCAGCCAGAGGCTCCTCTTCCCAGGTCACCTCTGACACCTACAGCCAACAGTCGGTGGGTACGTCAGACACAACCGTTAGTTGGCATGGCCCGGGAGCAAGCCCACTGAAATCACGTGTCCTCTACCTGCCCCTGTCCTTTGGTGTTCCCTCACCAAGCGAAGTATCGCATGCTGTGGGCTCAGCCCCACTATACAGTGAGGAAGAGCTAACAGAGGGCGGTCAGGAACGGGGGGAGACATCCGCCTCTTCAGCAGCCAGGCGAAGAAGTAGTGGCGAGGAGAGTGGCTCGGTAGCCGGTCTAGAGACAGGTCTGTCTCCTGACCCACACGCAGCCGAGGGGGCTAGTAGTGAGGCGGAGACCCTAATTGATGATGATGAGGCTGATCGCACTTGGCAGCCTCGTCGTCATCAGGCTATTGCTTCCGCATCATCAGGAGAAGAGAGGGTTGGCAGCGAGCAAAACAGTCGGTGGGTTGCCCAGGAGGCAGCAGGGTCGCAGCAGTGTCAGTGGAGGCAAACGGCCACGGAGTAGAGCACCAGCTCCACTGCAGCCTACCACCACGGCCAGTAGTGATGCCGGTGTGCACGGAGGAAGCAGCAGTCAGCCAGTGAGGAGTATCGGGGGCAAAGTTTCCTACTCGGGCGGTGTGGCAATTTTTTGTCAAGCCACCCAAGGAAGTAAACGTAGCCGTATGTCGACTATGTGGCCAGAAAGTCAAGCGTGGCCAGGGGGCCCATGTTGGGACTACAGAGTTGCGGCAGCATATGCAGCGTCGCCATTTGGTGGCCTGGGAAAACCGTGATAAAGATACGGCGGTTCTGCCCGCCCCAGCCCCCGCTCCATCACCCCGCTCCGTTACTTGCTCCGTCACCTGACGTCAATCGCCCTCTATCAGCCAGTCAAGGCTCCAACACCTCTGCTGAGGGGAGTTGTCGCTCGTTGGCATCTTCCGCTCGTTCAGATGCTCCTTCTCCTGCTATTCCTCTTCACGGATTCCGTCAGCAGTCTTTCTTGGAATCCGTTTCCAAGAGACAACAGTTTGCGAGCACGCACCCGACGGTGAAAAAGCTGAACGTCCTCCTGTCCAAGTTGCTGGTGCTGCAGTCCCCCTTTCCAAGTGGTGGACTCGCACCTTTCCGAGAAATGATGGCTTGTGCCGCACCGCGGTGGAGAGTGCCAAGCCGTCATTTCTTCGCCAAAAAGGCAGTGCCAGCCCTGCATTCACATGTAGAAGAGATGGTGGGCCAGTCTTTGAGCATGTCGGTCTCTGCCAAAGTGCACGGCAGCGCCGACGTGTGGAGCTGTAACTACGGTCAGGGACAGTACATCTCATTTACGGCCCACTGGGTGAACGTGGTGCCGTCACAGCCGCACCAGCAACTTGGACAGGTCACGCCGCTTTTGCCTCCACGTTTGCACGTCCTTGGTCCAGCAAAGATGTCCGCCTCTACCACCTCTTCTTCCGCCGTGTCCTCAGCCGCCACCCCCCGTGCCAAGTCCCATTACCCGACCGGCATATCACATGTGCAGGGCGCAACGGTGTCACGCTGTGCTGCACCTGGTATGCCTTGGCGAACGTAGTCACACAGGGGAGGAACTTCTGAGTGTAATGAACAGAGAAATCGACAGATGGCTGTCTCCTCGCGCAAACTGAAAATCGGAACCATGTTGACCGACAACGGAAAGAACATGGTGTCTGCTCTGCGTCAAGGAAGGTTGTGCCATGCCATGCATGGCTCACGTGTTCAATCTGGTTGTCAAGCGGTTCCTAAAATCCACCATCCCACTGCAAGACATCCTTAAAATGTCACGTAAACTTTGCATGCATTTCAGCCATTCCTACACCGCAAAGCACACCCTCCTTGAGCTGCAGCGGCAGAACGGAATTCCACAGCATCACCTGATCTGCGACGTTGCAACAAGGTGGAATTCAACCCTACACATGTTAGACCGCCTTTACGAACAGCGAAAGGCCATCACCGATTTCCTGATGTTACAAGCGGATAAAGGTACTCCCCTGTGTAACTTCGATGTCAGCCATTGGCAGCTCATGCGTGACACCTGCCGCTTGCTCAGGCCCTTTGAGGAGGCCACGCTATTCGTGAGTCGGCAGGACTATGGGATGAACGACGTCATTCCTCTGTTGCACGTCCTGGAACAAATGCTGTTAACAATGGCTGGTCAGGGTGCGGTAGACGTGGCGCACAGATCTCAACGCCACATGACCCCTGTGGGGGCAGGACAGGAAGAAGAGGAGGAGGTAGAGGAGGACATTTGTGCTCAGGAATTATTGAGTGAAATGGGTGGTTTTTCCACTCAGCGGACAGGAGTGGAGGAGCAGGAGCATCTGGTAGAGGAGGAGAGGAGGAGACAGAGGACCCAGACGCACCGTGGCAGTATGCTGTGGAGATGGAGGCAGGGAGTCCCTCGCATTCCTTGGCACAAATGGCCCATAGCATGCTCGCTTGCTTGCGTAGCGACAGCCGAATAATAACCATCAGACAGAGGGATGACTTTTGGCTGTCCACCTTGTTGGACCCTTGCTACCGTTCAAAAATGGTGGCCTTTTTTCACACCTGCTGAGAGGGAGGCCAAAATAACGTACTATAAAAACCACCTATGTAGTCAGTTGGTCTCTGCCTTTCTGCGCCAACGTCCATCCTCAGACACTGTGGGCCCTGTGCGCTCGCGTTCCGCTGCCATGGCAGCAGGGGAGGGGGTGGGTGGGTAGGAGCAGTGGCAGCTCCACCAGCAGCGGCTGCCTCAGTCTGCAGTCAGTCGATGATGAGTAGCTTTCTTCACCAGCGCAGTGAGGAAACTACTAACCAGCCCGCGCAGCAGCAGCAGCAGCATCAGGTGGACCTGGAGCAGGACCTCAAACAGGCTTGGGCCTACTTGGACAGCACCCTGCCAATCCCCTTGACTACTGGGCAACGAAACTTGACCTTTGGCCCCAACTAGCTGAATTTGCCCCTTGAAAGGCTGTCATGCCCGGCCAGTAGCGTGGCATCGGAGCGCGTGTTTAGTGCGGCAGGAGGTATTGTAACTCCGCGGAGGACACGACTGTCCACCCAAAGTGTGGAGAGACTCATGTTTGTGAAAATGAATCAGGCGTGGATTAGTCTGGATTTCAAACCACCAGTTCCTGACACAACTGACTAAATCCGCCATGAATCATGCCCCAAACATGTGCCACTTTCAGGTCTCCTCACACTGCTGGTGTGTTCCATTTTTTGTCATAGGGTGCTGGCAGATTACGGGGCCTCCCATAGCTGCTGCCAGGCCCCTAATCTGCCATGGGCCCCTGTACCGCCTCCTCATGCTGCTGCCAGGTCCACAGTGTCTCAGCTGTCCTCATGCCATGTGCCACTTTCAGGTCTCCTCACACTGCTGGTGTGTTCCATTTTTTTGTCATAGGGTGCTGGCAGATTACGGGGCCTCCCATAGCTGCTGCCAGGCCCCTAATCTGCCATGGGCCCCTGTACCCGCCTCCTCATGCTGCTGCCAGGTCCACAGTGTCTCATGCCATGTGCCACTTTCAGGTCTCCTCACACTGCTGGTGTGTTCCATTTTTTGTCATAGGCTGCTGGCAGATTACGGGCCTCCTATAGCTGCTGCCAGGCCCCTAATCTGCCATGGGCCCCTATACCCCGCCTCCTCATGCTGCTGCCAGGTCCAGAGTCTCTCATGGGTCCCTGTACGGCCTCCCATTGCTGCTGTCTCCATCGCCACACTCTGCCATGTGCCACTTTCAGGTCTCCTCACACTGCTGGTGTGTTCCATTTTTTGTCATAGGGTGCTGGCAGATTACGGGCCTCCCATAGCTGCTGCCAGGCCCCTAATCTGCCATGGGCCCCTGTACTGCCTCCTCATGCTGCTGCCAGGTCCACAGTGTCTCATGCCATGTGCCACTTTCAGGTCTCCTCACACTGCTGGTGTGTTCCCATTTTTTGTCATAGGCTGCTGGCAGATTACGGGCCTCCTATAGCTGCTGCCAGGCCCCTAATCTGCCATGGGCCCCTATACCACCTCCTCATGCTGCTGCCCAGGTCCAGAGTCTCTCATGGGTCCCTGTACGGCCTCCCATTGCTGCTGTCTCCATCGCCACACTCTGCCATGTGCCACTTTCAGGTCTCCTCACACTGCTGGTGTGTTCCATTTTTTTTGTCATAGGGTGCTGGCAGATTACGGGCCTCCCATAGCTGCTGCTGCCAGGCCCCTAATCTGCCATGGGCCCCTATACCGCCTCCTCATGCTGCTGCCAGGTCCAAAGTCTCTCATGGGTCCCTGTACGGCCTCCCATTGCTGCTGTCTCCATCGCCACACTCTGCCATGTGCCACTTTCAGGTCTCCTCACACTGCTGGTGTGTTCCATTTTTTTGTCATAGGGTGCTGGCAGATTACGGGCCTCCCATAGCTGCTGCCAGGCCCCTAATCTGCCATGGGCCCCTATACCGCCTCCTCATGCTGCTGCCAGGTCCAAAGTCTCTCATGGGTCCCTGTACGGCCTCCCATTGCTGCTGTCTCCATCGCCACACTCTGCCATGTGCCACTTTCAGGTCTCCTCACACTGCTGGTGTGTTCCATTTTTTGTCATAGGGTGCTGGCAGATTACGGGGCCTCCCATAGCTGCTGCCAGGCCCCTAATCTGCCATGGGCCCCTATACCGCCTCCTCATGCTGCTGCCAGGTCCAGAGTCTCTCATGGGTCCCTGTACGGCCTCCCATTGCTGCTGTCTCCATCGCCACACTCTGCCATGTGTCACTTTCAGGTCTCCTCACACTGCTGGTGTGTTCCATTTTTTGTCATAGGGTGCTGGCAGATTACGGGCCTCCCATAGCTGCTGCCAGGCCCCTAATCTGCCATGGGCCCCTGTACCGCCTCCTCATGCTGCTGCCAGGTCCAGAGTCTCTCATGGGTCCCTGTACGGCCTCCCATTGCTGCTGTCTCCATCGCCACACTCTGCCATGTGCCACTTTCAGGTCTCCTCACACACTGCTGGTGTGTGTTCCATTTTTTGTCATAGGGTGCTGGCAGATTACGGGCCTCCCATTGCTGCTGCCAGGCCCGTAATCTGCCATGGGCCCCCGTACCGACTCCTCATGCTGCTGCCAGGCCCGTAATCTGTCATGGGCCCCTGTTGTCGCTTTTTGGCATATTCCGCTCGTTCAGATGCTCCTTCTCCTGCTACTCCTCTTCACGGATTCCGTCAGCATTCTTTCTTGGAATCCGTTTCCAAGAGACAACAGTTTTGCGAGCACGCACCCGACGGTGCAGAAGCTGAACGTCCTCCTGTCCAAGTTGCTGCTGCCAGGCTCGTAATCTGTCATGCGCCCCTGTACCGCCTCCTCATGCTGCTGCCAGGTCCAGAGTGTGTCATGGGGCCCCGTACCGACTCCTCATGCTGCTGCCAGGCCCGTAATCTGTCATGGCCCCTGTACCGCCCTCCTCACGCTGCTGCCAGGTCCAGAGTGTGTCATGGGTCCCTGTACGGCCTCCCATTGCTGCTGCCAGGCCCGTAATCTGACATGGGGCCCCCGTACCAACTCCTCATGCTGCTGCCAGGCCCGTAATCTGTCATGGGCCCCTGTACCGCCTCCTCATGCTTCTGCCAGGTCCAGAGTGTGTCATGGGTCCCTGTACGGCCTCACATTGCTGCTGTCTCCATCGCCACACTCTGCCATGTGCCACTTTCAGGTCTCCTCACACTGCTGGTGGTTTCCATTTTTGTCATAGGGTGCTGTATGCCTCCCATTGCTGCTGCCTCCACCGCCACACTGTGGCTCCACACTCTGGTTTTGGCCCCGTGACTGCCCAAATGAGTGAAGTGTGCGGTGATTCTAAGATCGACGGCACTCATCTGCATGTCATACTGACTGTCAGTATTATTTCTCTTCCCCAGCAGACTCCAAGGGCATTTAAATTAAAGGTACAGTGTTCTGCACTAATATAAAGGCTCTCTGAAGCCTAGAAACACCCTTTTATAAGTTAAATTCGCAGCGAATATATTCGACTCGAATCGAAATTTTTTCACGAATTCGCCGAATCAGTCGAATCGAATTTTTGAATAATTCGCTCTATCATCGCGATTATGATGGTTGTTCCTCTTTTTTTTTTTTTTTTTTTTTTTTTTTGTGTTGGTCTGTTTGTTCCGTCCTGCGAGGCAGTTGGCTATTTTTTTTTTTGTGTAAAATGTGAGAGAAAAAATTTTTTATAAATAAAATCTGAACTTAAAAAAATGTTTGTCACTGCATCTGAAACGGCTTATCTGTCTGCAAAGGAATGCTGAATTCATATCACAGTTCCTCAGACAGCTAATGGCCTTAAAGCGGATCTTCACTCTGGGGAAAAAAAATCCTGTAGCTGCTGACTTTTAATAAAAGGACATTGTCCAGGGATCTAGTACTGTCCTCACCTGGGCTAGTTCTTCTTGAGCCTTCAAGTTCCCAGCACTGGCATCCTAACTGTGGGTAGCCAGCATGTTCACTGCTCATGCGCGAGCTGGCCTTTGTGAATGGTCTGGCAGGGAGAGAGGAGAATGTCCTCCTAGACTATCCGAATAGAAGTGGTAGTGGGTACTTGTCAAAAATAGGTACCCGCGACCCCCACAAAAAAAATGCTTGCCAAATATGGTAGAGGTGGGTGAAGTTCTGTTTTAATGGAGTCAGTTGTGTCTGGATATAAACTGCCAGGCCAACCTCCTCCAACCCATGTGCTCCACTTAGTGTTGGATTCTACATTTCCTGTCCTTGCAGAGGCAGGACACAGCTACAGGAAGAGAAGAAAGTCTCTCCAAGGCCTAGATGCACAGGCTGCTATTGCTTCACATAAACAGCCTATTGATAAGGTATTTCCTCTGATTTTTGAGGGAGCCTTAATTCTATTGCTATTGACCCCTTCCTATTTTGTTCTACCCCTCTGGGAATAGAGAGACTTGCAATATCTAAAAACAATTGTCATGTTAACAATGGAACAAATGAGCAATCTTTGAAGAGTGCCATCCAGGAAATATTTACTACTCTCCAAAAATCATCACTTGGCTCTATCCTATAGCAACAAGTTTATTGTGAAATGGACGGTACCAGGAGTGGACCCAGTTGTCTTATACTTGAATAAACATCCTACTAGTTCATCAAAAGGTATCCTTATCTTTTTAAGGATCTTATACATAGAAAATTTGAAATGCTGTTGAGCTCTTTTTCTTTTGAGCTCTGCAGTCAGCAATTGCTGCTTTATCTGTCAGACTGCAGCTGCCTGGACCTGGAACGTGTGCAAGCAGCAGTGCAAACCTATTCTTCTTTGCAAAAAACTCTACCCCTTGTAAGGGTAGCGTGCTTAGTGTTTCCACTTGGTTTGCAACAGTTCTATATTCACCCATTGTTTTAGACATAAGTCTAAGATTCTAGAGTTGCGTACAGACAGATCTAAATTCGGCTCGTTCAGCAGGGACCTGGCTGAATTTGAAGAAGTTGATTGATCATGCTGGAAAACTTTCATCGATCAGCAATTGAAGCCACTAATCAGTTTTGAGAGTGGAAGCCAGCCACAGATAGTTTGAATCTCTGCCTGTCCTGCAGAGATTGACCAAGATTCCAACCATCTATGGGTAGGCTGATTTGTACCCAATTTGATTGTTATACAAATTGGGTACAACCAGCCCTGTTGAATTTTTCATGCAATTATAGCCTGCGGCCATAGCTGCTGGCAACAATCACTGTGTTCTCTCAGCAGGGACTGTACCCCCCTGCCAGGAGAACACAATAGCTCCGTGGGAGGAATTCCCCCATCAACACTGTCAAGACAGTGGGAATTATGGAACACCATACTCTAATTCCAGACATTAGTTCTTTTTCCTTACGGACCAGTTACAAATATCTTTTATACAGGATACCTTTTATGGTTTGTGAATCTTATGACTAAGAGAACCATTTATACACCCTTTTTTTTTTCTTTTTTTTTTTCTCTTTTTCTTTTTCTAACAAATTATTCAGGTTCATTTGGTTACTTCCTGGAGTAACTTGAATTTTTTCACTACAGGCACTCATACAAGTTTCTTGATGTAGGTAGACTTCTCTACCCAAAAAAAAAACAAAAAGCCTTCAGTATAATTCTGTCTTAGCTTGTAAGCTCTAACGAGCAGGGCCTCCCTCTGTTTCCTCTTGTACCAAATTGTATTGTAACTGTAATTTCTACCTTCATTTTGTAAAGCGCTGCACAAACTGTTGGTGCTATATAAATCCTGTATAATAATAATAATCAGTAAGACTACTTGGAAAGATAATGCCTGGGTTACGTACTACCTCCCAAGGTCTCAATGCTAAAGAGCCCTATCTGTAATAAGCTTATCCTTACTTAGGCCCCCAAAAAGTCAGATTTCTTTTAGTAAGATTCTAATTTTCCCTCACACTCAGACTTCTGGGTGATTCCACATAATTCCACCAATAATTGAGGCATTCCAGTCAAAGCTTCTAGATATGCCCAAACCTTTTCTCAACTTCATATCAAATTGCCAAGGAATGTTTTTATACAGTATCTTCCTTACCCTGATCCTTGTTATATAAGGTAGATCAGAAATGTTAACCCCTTCCAAAAATACGGAGTCTTCCCTGAGATTCTGAACCATCAAACTCTACCAGCCCTAGCTGGGATATACAGTTTTTGATCATTTATTCACATTAAGACCAGACCAATTCTGACATGTCTCTCCTACATGTAAAAAGTCAGTATTTTGTTGCTAGAAACTTACTTAGGACCCCTAAACATTATGCGCTTGGCCTACATATGCATTTTTTTTATTATTACTACTTTTATTGCTATTACAACAGATGAACAACATCTCTTGTGATAGCATGGGCATTTTATTGCTATCACAATGGATAAACAACATCCCTCGTTTTAGCATGGGCATTGACAGGTATTCTTTATTGAGAGATCTGGGGTCTATTAGACTAGGCCGAACTGCTGACTTTAGTCCCCGGGCTCCCTGGTGGGATGGGAGAGCCCCAGAAGACACTAGCATTACCAGTAGGATTGCTTTTAGTAAAAATGGCATCGCTGGCTGAAAAACATGATACCGTGATGAAGCCTGCAGCTGCAAGCATCATCTGGTTATAACCACTTCAACCCTGCGACGTACCGGTATGTCACTGGGACTGAAGTGGTTTTTTGATGGAGTCTTTTCAGTGTAGTTATGCCTTTTTTCTCCAGTTAGCCGTTAAAACACAATAAGTAATCTCCACCTCTCTCCTGGAGGCTAACTGGAGTCAGCAAACTTACTCGATTTTGTCTTTCTTCATCGCATACGCAACAATTTCTTGATCTATGGTGCAAATTATAGAATGGCTTGGACAACATATCCATTATTGCCTAGAGTATAGGATATGTGCCTCCTCCCCTAACACAGTTAATTCTGTGTCACATCCTGCTCAAAAAAGATTTATGGACCTATTGCCACTCCACTAAATGGATCCATACCTTTTGATATTGAAGGCCAGAAATGATTTCCTGACCTCAACGCAGGTTTAGTCTTGAACATTACCTAGGTTATGAAAACTTAGATTAGTTTGTGGAGGATTCCTCCTTCCTCATGCAGGCTGTTTTTAACCTTCCACATTAGACCTTGCAAAATTACTTATGGAACTATGCTTTTCTAAAGGAAGCTTTTCTTTTTCACAAGGCCTCCTTCTACCTTCACTTTTACATCTCTGGTGTTATGAGCTTTGTTTTAGTTACTCTGTTTCCCTAAAGTCTTTTACACACGGTACATTTTTGTTTTTGTTTTTTCGACCCAGCAGTCTGAGCGAAAAAAAAGTTTCTCACTGTAATAACTATGCGATGTTAGTACAGCGATCTCCTCGCTGTACTATTGTGTTCTGACAGGGGGACTGCATCCTCCACCAGAGTGCACCAGTCAGCACTCACAAGCGCTAATCGATTGTTGATTGGCTGCTGTTTTTCCAGCATGCCCATTCAACAGAATCCGAACAGGCTGCTGTACACATGGGCCAAATGTAGGCCAATTTCTGTTGAACTGGCTGACATTTGGCCTGTGTGTAAAAGGCTTTACTAATGAAGGGTTTTTTGAGTTCTTTGAAAAGGTTTCTTAATTTACCTTATAAAAGGTAAAGTATTTTTTCTTTCATTCATTGATGAACACAGCATCTATAATTCTTGACCATAGGGTTATATCACCAGCTACAGGAGTAGGACACTAGGCAGAAAAAAGAAACTCCGCACCGCCTATGGGCAGTCCTGGCCGATAGAAACCCCCTGTCAGGGCTCCCAGGTATGACTAGAGGTGTGTGACTGATGCAGGGAAACGCAGACTTCAGATATGTGATAAACAATACAATTTATTAACACTAACCATACAAACATAAACGCAGTGCAATACTAAACATAATACAGTGCAAAAAACAAACCAAACCACCCACAGATAACAGTACATACATACAAGCAAGCGTCGTCAGGCAGGCCAGGTCAATATCAATTGGGCAGGTACGTACAGGGGGAGCAGCAGAGAATGGTCGGGGTCACAGGCCAGGTTCAGCAGGTAGCAAGCAGCGTAGTACAGAGGGTCAGGCAGAGGGATGGTCAGGGTCACAAGCCAGAGATCAAAACAGGTAACAAGCAGCGTAGTACAGAGGGTCAGGCAGAGGGACAGAAACAGGATGCAGGACAGATACAGGGCCCAGGACAAACACAACACCAAGGCAGAGTCTGTGGGTCTGGCCATCCCTTAAATACCCCAGCATCATCAGTTCCAGGTGTTAGCTGGCTGAAAGGTTGAGTCTCTGATTGCTGGGAGCACCCGCTGGCCAGCCCTGGTACTGCAGATCAAAAGGCAGGTGAGTCCCACCATTGCTGGCCAGTCCATTCCTAACAGTACCACCCCCCCCCCCCCCCCCCAAGGAGCGGCCTCAGGACGCTCCAAACAGTCCTAGCTGGGCAAAATGTTCCACCGCCCGGGTCTGGTAACTGGCGGGATATCAAAGACTGGCACACCGGGCAGGACTCCGGCAGCGGCACACCGGGCTGGACTCCGGGCAGGAGGCACACCGGGCTGGACTCCGGGCAGAGGCACACCGGGCTGGACTCGGGCAGAGGCACATCGGGGCAGGACTCCGGGCAGAGGCACATCGGGCAGGACTCCGGGCAGAGGCACATCGGGCAGGACTCCGGGCAGAGGCACATCGGGCAGGACTCCGGGCAGAGGCACATCGGGCAGGACAGGCGCAGCAGCAGGCACATCGGGCAGGACCCCGGGCGGAGCAGCAGGCACCGGGCCCCCGGGCGGAGGCACAGGCATCGGGCCCCCGGGCGGAGGCACAGGCGGGCGGGCCCCCGGGCGGAGCAGCAGGCACGGGCGGGCCCCCGGGCGGGCAGCAGGCACCGGCCCCCCCGGGCGGGGTGGACCGGGGGCCCGGGGCGAGGGGCAGCAGGCACCGGGCCCCCGGGCGGGAGCAGCAGGCACCGGGCCCCCGGGCGGGGCGACAGGCACCGGGCCCCCGGGCGGGGCACGCATCGGGCCCCCGGGCGGCAGCAGGCACCGGGCCCCCCGGGCGGAGCAGCAGGCACCGGGCCCCCGGGCGGGGCAGCAGGCACCGGGCCCCCGGGCGGGGCAGCAGGCACCGGGCCCCCGGGCGGAGCAGCAGGCACCGGGCCCCCGGGCGGGGCAGCAGGCACCGGGCCCCGGGCGGGCGGCAGCAGCAGGCACCGGGCCCCCGGGCGGGCAGCAGGCACCGGGCCCCCGGGCGGGGCAGCAGGCACCGGGCCCCCGGGCGGGGCGCAGGCACCGGGCCCCCGGGCGGGGCGCAGGCACCGGGCCCCCGGGCGGGGGCGCAGGCACGGGCCCCCGGGCGGAGCAGCAGGCACCGGGCCCCCGGGCGGAGCAGCAGGCACCGGGCCCCCGGGCGGGAGCAGCAGGCACCGGGCCCCCGGGCGGGGCGACAGGCGTCGGGCCCCCAGGCGGGGCGGCGGGCGCCGGCCCCCAGGCGGGCGACAGGCATCGGGCCCCCAGGCGGGGCGGGACAGGCATCGGCCCCCAGGCGGGGCGGCGGGGACGACAGGCATCGTGCCCCCAGGCGGAGCGGCGGGCGCCGGACCCCCAGGCGGAGCGACAGGTCTCGGGCCCTCAGGCGGAGCGGCGGGCGCCGGACCCCCAGATGGAGCGACAGGTCTCGGGCCCTCAGGCGGAGCGGCGGGCGCCGGACCCCCAGGCGGAGCGACAGGTCTCGGGCCCTCAGGCGGAGCGGCGGCGGGCGCCGGACCCCCAGGAGGAGCGACAGGTCTCGGGCCCTCAGGCGGAGCGGCGGGCGCCGGACCCCCAGATGGAGCGACAGGTCTCGGGCCCTCAGGCGGAGCGGCGGGCGCCGGACCCCCAGGTGGAGCGACAGGTCTCGGGCCCTCAGGCGGAGCGGCGGGCGCCGGCCCCCCCAGGCGGAGCGACAGGTCTCGGGCCCTCAGGCGGAGCGGCGGGCGCCGGACCCCCAGGCGGAGCGACAGGTCTCGGGCCCTCAGGCGGGAGCGGCGGGCGCCGGACCCCCCCAGGAGGAGCGACAGGTCTCGGGCCCTCAGGCGGAGCGGCGGGCGCCGGACCCCCAGGCGGAGCGACAGGTCTCGGACCCTCAGGCGGAGTGGCGGGCGCCGGACCCCCAGGCGGAACGACAGGTCTCAGGCCCCCAGGCGGGGCGGGCGGGCACCGAGTCACCAGGCACAACCGTGGGCTCCGAGTCAACTGGGATGACCGCTGGCACTGGGTCAGACATTGGATCGTCTGGCTGGACAGCGGGCATCGGGTCACCAGGCATCAGGTCATTTGGCTCGACAGCGGGCACCGCGTCATCTGGCAAGGCAGTGGGCTCCGAGTCAACTGGTATGACCGCGGGCACTGGGTCAGACATTGGATCGTCTGGCTGGACAGCGGGCACTGGGTCACCAGGCATCAGGTCATTTGGCTCGACAGCGGGCACCGCGTCATCTGGCAAGGCAGTGGGCTCCGAGTCAACAGGCACGACAGTGAGCACCGGGTCATCAGGTACCGGATTGTCTGGCTCGACAGGGGACAGCGGGCATCGGGTCAGGTATGACCAGGTATGGGTCAGGCATCAGGTCATTGGGTCACCAGGCATCAGGTCATTTGGCTCGACAGCGGGCACCGGATCAGGTACCGGATCATCTGGATCAACAGCGGGCATCGAGTCAACTGGCCTAATAGGATCGTCAGGCTGGATCAGTTCATCATGCAGGCTGGGTAGAGGCATCAGGCTGAGTAGAGGCTTCGGCGAGTAGAGGCTTCAGGCCGAGTAGAGGCTTCAGGCCGAGAGAGGCTTCAGGCCGAGTTCAGGCCGAGTAGAGGCTTCAGGCCGAGTAGAGGCATCAGGCCGAGCTTCAGGCCGAGTAGAGGCATCAGGCCGAGTAGAGGCTTCAGGCCGAGTAGAGGCTTCAGGCCGAGTAGAGGCATCAGGCCGAGTAGAGGCATCAGGCCGAGTAGAGGCATCAGGCCGAGTAGAGGCATCAGGCCGAGTAGAGGCATCAGGCTCAGTAGAGGCATCAGGCCGAGTAGAGGCATCAGGCTGAGTAGAGGCATCAGGCTAGTACAGGCTTCAGGCTGAGTAGAGGCTTCAGGCTGAGTAGAGGCTTCAGGCTGAGTAGAGGCTTCAGCTGAACCACGGAAGGCAGGCTCACCGGTTTGGATACTGGCAGGATGGTATTGGTTGGAAAGAATTTTCGAATTTTTTTTCTGGTTTTAACTACTGGAGCACTGCAAGTAAACGCAGGTCTGCAAACGAATGGAGCAGCTGGAGACAGAGAAGAACTGGAGGATGGAACAGGAGAGGGAGCGGTTGCTACAGAGGGCTCTTTTACAGGGTTAAAGGCAGGATAGGTGCAGCGAGTGGGAACAGGGTACTGACATGCGGTAGATAGCAGGGCAGGAGGAGCTGTTGGGAATGCAGGAATAGAGTTTTGAGGAAATAGATTAGAAGCAGGACTGGGTCTTTGTAAGCTGACTGAGGCTGGGTGCAACAAATCTGTCCATGTCTGCAGTATGGGTTGAACAAAGCTGAGCTTACACAAAGCCTGTCTGGTCAATGACTGTACTGCGTTTATACAATCTCTTAGTGTCTGTGGTGAACATGTGGAATAACGCTCCAGAAAGTAACCCACATCATCCTCTAATAACCACACCAGGGACTCTACCTGGTCTGCACTAAATGGTGGCAAAAATTCATCCCTGCATTCGGGGGAACCAGATGAAACCAACTCAGCACAAACCTCAATCAAAGGCTGCACCTCAGAGAACTCTGTGCCCTGATCTACTAGAACATGAGCGAGCCGTATACATTCTAGCAGTTCATCCCGGGTATACTCCTTCAGAGTTTGATAAGCATACTCCCTGTCATCAAACACTAGCAGATATAAATATTCAACCTCATCAAGATCCATCCTTCCCATCAACAAGCCAAGATGGCTTCCCTGTGCAGCCACTTCTGGTCAGGATTGGCCTTGGTGTAATGTCAGGGCTCCCAGGTATGACCAGAGGTGTGTGACTGATGCAGGGAAACGCAGACTTCAACAATTTATTAACACTAACCATACAAACATAAACGCAGTGCAATACTAAACATAATACAGTGCAAACAAACCAAACCAAACCACCCACAGATAACAGTACATACAAGCAAGCGTCGTCAGGCAGGCCGGGTCAATATCAATTGGGCAGGTAGGTACAGGGGGAGCAAGCAGAGAATGGTCGGGGTCACAGGCCAGGTTCAGCAGGTAGCAAGCAGCGTAGTACAGAGGGTCAGGCAGAGGGATGGTCAGGGTCACAAGCCAGAGATCAAAACAGGTAACAAGCAGCGTAGTACAGAGGGTCAGGCAGAGGGACAGAAACAGGATGCAGGACAGATACAGGGCCCAGGACAAACACAACACCAAGGCCGAGTCTGTGGGTAGGTGAGTCCCACCATTGCTGGCCAGTCCCTTCCTAACACCCCCTCTCTGCAATCCAATTCCTTTCTGCCTAGTGTCAGTATGCTAGGACCTGTGTTTTCATAGCTTTTTTTTTTTTCTGTGTGATCGTTATAGCCAATAACTGGGTTAGGTGATCGGGCTGGATAATATAGATTCCACTGGTCACCCCAGCCTGGCCAGCGAGCAGCGAGGACCCTAGCTATACATTGGGTAGGACCGCGGCGGAAAGCGCTATTTGGACTGGGGCAGCTGGCAAGTTAAATTGGCCTCGCGGGGGCGCATATGACCGGGCGGCTCTGGACAATGCGCAGTCAGTGTTTTTCTGGCCGACACAGCCCCCCACGATTCGGTGGACAGGTGGTTCTGTCTAATGGAGTGTATCCGCAACTTCACATGGACTGGTAAGTAGATCTCCTGCCCCCTTCTTTCCTTCCAGGTTGTAGTGCGGGCGGCGGGTTACTTCCTCTTGGGATAATTGGCCTGTCGGGGTTCCCCACCTCCCTGCCTGACACCCTTATCTGCACTGGCTGTTTTCCCCCCACCCCCCCATGCTCTATGGGCTGTCTCGTCTCGGTTTTTTGCTGATTGCAGGCCTCATTTGGTCCTCTTCCTGCGCTGGTGGCTAGGCCTGTTTGTCTTTGGTGGGGGGTTTGAGACATTGCTTGCTGCTGCGGCTTGCAGCCACCCTCCGGGGCTTGGCCGGCTTTTTTTTTCAGTTGTTTTTCTTCTGGCTATTTTTCCCTATGTTTTTGCTATGTTCTTTGTGGCAATTTTTTTTTGTAGCCTGGCAGCACTCCTGTGTATTTTCTATGGGCTTGCTGTGCCTGGGCTTTGGGAGGCTGGCTACTGCGACCATGTCTTTGGGGTCTGGCACTGGTTTCTCCTCTAACAGCTGCGCTGTGAGGCCAGCAGCAGCCATTTTGTTTTTGGTGTCTGGCTCTGTGTTTTCACACGAGGGCTTTGGAGGGTGGGAATATGGCGGCCATTTTCATTGTAGGCTGCGTGATGCGTCTCCCAGCTCCCTCTTGACCTCTTCTGTTCATTGGAAGAGCTGGTTCTGGGCTTCATGACCGTTGTTTGGTGTGTGCTCCATGTTACTCTCAGTCTGCCTTTCCTGCTGTGGGACTAGCTGGCACTCTCTGCTTTTTGCCCTGGTGTGGTGAGTCCTGGTGGGGTATTTCTCCTCTCTGCTGGCTTTGGTGTGCGGCCGTCCTTGGGGGGTTCCCTTGCAACATAAGTGGGCTTCCCTGGCAGAGCCTTCCCTGTGGGGTCCGTTTTGGAGAATTTATTTGTGGAGTCTCAGGATCAAGTCTCGCTTACCCCTGATCCTTTCCTTGAGGTAGGCAGGTCCACTTGGGTCCTCTGTGCCCATTGACATGCTGACAGCAGTCCTGGGAGTTATTTGTTTCCTGGATGGAGGTGGCAATGGGGCGTAAGGTGAGCATGATAGCAGATCCTTGCCCCCCCTCCTTTGGGCCAGTGGCTCTGCCACTGCAGATTGTGGTCCTTCACGCAGGTCCGGCTCCTTGAGAATCCCCGACTCTTTCCGATAGTGGAGGTTTTAGTCTCTCTGATGATAAGGCGCTGGTTGTCACATCACATCAGTGGGAGAAACTCTAAGATGGAGGTTTTACTCTGGGGTGATTGCAGATGTGTCTGTCCCTATGGTTTGCTTTTTCATCCCACATGGATCTGCAGTCCAGAGTTTCAAGCCCTTTCAAGGCCCCTGCAGGAGTTACCAAGCGCCCCTGGTCTTCCAAGCCTTGTCAAGTCCGCAGATAAAGCCCTCCTCGCCATGGAAGGTGCCGCCCCACCCCACCCATGTTCCAGGGTTGGGGGGCTGTCCATCTGCTCTGGTGTGCAGGCCATGCGGACCTCCCTGATTTTTGCAAGTTGGTCAACGAGTGTGGAATCCCATCTGGGGATAAAATAGAAATTTAATCCTATCCTCACATGAGAGTTTTTTTTCCTCCATCGTTGCAATCTCTCTCTGGCTCGCCTGCAAGGGTTGTTATGGAGCTGTGGCTAAGAGTACGTACTAGTGTCAAGGGTAAATTGTTCCAGTTTTTCAGTTGGTTCTATTCCAAACCTTACTGTATTCATGGTTTACGAAAAAAGGAAGGACAGTATTCACCTGATCCTTGATCCTCAGGTCCTGAACTGCTTCACTCAAGTGCAAAGTTCCTTAATGGAGTCCGTTCGGTCCATGGTGGGCCTCCCCTTCACCAAGGGGTTTTCCTGGGCATCAATGGACATCACAGGTTATGCCTGACCTGCACATCTCCATTTCTTCTGCCAGGCACCCGTGCTTCCTTTGGTTTCGTGCCTCGGAGGAGGAGCATTGTGGCGCTACCCTTTTGGTCATTTTTTTTTTTTTTTTTTTTTTGTTTTTTTTTTTTTGTTTTTTTTATTTTTTTTTTTTGTTGCCTACGCTCCATGGGGTTCTAGCTTTGCTGAGACAATGGGGGGATAGCTGTGATTGGGCTGTCTGGGATGACCTGCTTCTGAGAGCAGGGTCATCCTGACACCCCTGAGTTCTCTCTCAGCTTTTGAGTGATGACATGGGTTTATCAAGGATCAGGCATCTTGCAAGAGTTGGGGTGGATTCGTGAATTTACAGGTAACCAACTCTAATTCCATCCAGGTAGCTGGATTATCTGGGCATGGTTCTGGATTACGGCATTGGCCATGGTGCTTCTTCTGCTGGACAAAGTCCGGATTGCCTCAGTTCAGATGGTTTGGCTGCTTGCTGTCCTAACAGTTTGGTTTCTCCCTTTGCTGTTGCATGCAGGTCCTGGAACTGATGGTAGCTGCATTTGAGGCTAGTTCTGTACGCTCAAGTCCCATACAAGGAACCTTCAGAGAAGGAAATCCTGGTCCCAGTGGAACAATTACCCCCCGACTCCTTGGACTCCCCGATTTGGTCTGGGTCTAAAGACAAGGATTGGTATGGTGATCACAATGGATACCTGGCTTCTCCAGCTGGGGTGGAGTGCTAGGATGCGAGCTTGAGCCCAGGGTCGCTTGGATGCCAGAGGGAGTCTCGGTTTATCATATCAGTGTCCCTGGAACTTCGGGCAATCCGGCTCTGCTGCGAGCAGTGGACCAGAGGCATTATGTCTTCTGGGGCACCCTGTCTGGATCCAGTCAAGACCAATTTATTGAATACAGAAATGAGTACAAAACACGCGGAGCAGATCAAGCATTGTAAGACCTCAAGGGAACTTTAGAATAGTAGAGCCCTGCGTGAGTCCAATCATAGGGGTAGACACTCAGGATACAGCTGATCGCATTTTCGAAGGGGGTCCTCCCTTTCTTTATCCAAGCTAAACTGAATACTGAGTTACTGTCCTCCCATATATTACCTCTAAAACACTAAAATATGGGACCTTCTTCTTTACTGGGGTTGGGTCATCTCAGGCTGGGAGGAGGGGGTCATCGGTTGTTATGTCAACAGAATATCTTAATGGTTATATATTTCGTTTTTACAATTAAACAAATGGTTATAGTACAATACAATTTTAGATAATATTATTCCTCTACTACGAAGCATGCCCATGATGTGAATGAATGACGGATTTAGAGATGGTTATATG